AAAATAGGGGAAACCCGTGAAAGAAAGTGCAAAACGTAGGGAAATGTAGGGAGAAAATCAGTTTTTAATTAATATCTCGGCTAATTAAAGTCGCACGAAGATGCCGATGGTCAATCCGGCGAGCCACGGGCATTCTGAATCCAACGGTACCTTCCGCTAAGCTCTACACCCAGCCGTTCCCGAGGAGATGATGTTACAAACACACAAACAGACAGAGGCACACAGATTTTAATAGTATAGACTAGCGGGCAAGCCCGCCAGCTGAGCGGGCTGAAGCCCGCTTATCATTGTTCGTTTTTAAAAGATATCCTATGTTAAATTTGGCCGGTATTGAAAAGTTGAACCGAACTACCATTTTTAGCGGCATTCCGCGGGCTTCCCCCGCTTTTTTCACCTATGCATCCAGAAGTTACCGCATACACTATACATATGCGGAAAATCACGAAAACACCCATGCTTCCAGCCCTTTCGCGGGTATTCGAAATTTGGACCGAAATACCAGTGTTCAGCGCTTTTGGGCGGGAGCCCGCCCAAAACAGTGTTCACGTGTGCATGCAAAAGATACTGCGTACACCGTACACATGCGTAAAAATCACGAAAAACACCCTCCAGCCAGCCCGCTGCCGATTCGAAAGTTGGACCGAAATACAATTTTTCAGCGATTTTGCGCGTGCTGTGCCCGCTTTATTCACGTATGCATGCTGAAGATGGTGCATAAACGATACACATGCGTAAAATCACGAAAACAAACCCATGGAGCCCAGCCAGTTCGTCGGGATTCGAAATTACCGCATACCAGAACCGCATTACCAGTATTCTGTGCCCGCTTTATTCACGTATGCATCCATGAGATACTTTATAAACGATACACATGCGAACAATCACGAAAACACCCATGCAGCCAGCCCGCTCGCCGAGATTCGAAAGTTTGAGCGAACTACCAGTGTTTCAGCGGTTTTACCCGGTATCCGCGCGCTGTATTCACGTATGCATCCAAATTTTATATACAGTACCCCGGAATTCGAAAGTAGGACCGAAATACCAGTGTTCAGCGATTTTGTGGAGCGGGCTGCGCCCCCGCTTTATACACATAAGCATGGAGAGGATACTGCATAAACGATACACATGAGTTAAAAGCAAGAAAACACCCGGGGAGCCAGCTCGTTCGCCGACACCGAAAGTTGGATCGAACTACCAGCGTTAAGAGGTTTCGAGCAGGCTGCGCCCACTTTTATCACATATGCATCCAGAAATCACTTTATACACTATACACATGCGGAAAATCAGGAAAAACACCCATGCAGCCAGCCCGCTCGCAGAGATTCGAATGTTTGACCGAACTACCAGTGTTCAGCGGTTTTACCCGGTATCCGCGCGCTGTATTCACGTATGCGACCAAATTTTATGTACAGTACCCCGGAATTCGAAAGTTGGACCGAACTACCAGTGTTCTGTAGTTTTGCGCGGGCTGCTCCCGCTTTATTCAAGTATGCATGCAGAAGATACCGCATACACGTTACACATGCGAAAAATCCCGAAAACACACATTGAGCCAACACGGTCGCTTGGATTCGAAAGTTGGACCGAACTACCAGTAATCAGAGGTTTTGAGCGAATTTCGGCCGCTTTATTCACTTATGCATCCAGAAGATGCTGCGTAGTACACGAGGCACATGCGTAAAATCACGCAAACACCCATGGACCCAGCCCGTTCGCCGGGATTCGAAATTAGGACCGAACTACCAGAGTTCAGCTTTATTCATTTATGCATCCAGAAGACACTGCATACACAACAGATATGCGTAAAATCACAAAAAACATGAGTGTAGCCTGCCTGCTCACCGGGATTCGAAAGTTACCGTATACCATCTCAAAGGAGCAAAGAAAAAATCTTTAATCTAAAAAAAAAAAAAAAAAAAAGTGTGAATTTAATTTTTATTGGTGCGAACTTATTTAAAATATCATTTGCATTAAAATAATATCTAAATTAAGTGCACGTATCTAATAACATAAAAAAATATATTATCCAAAAAATCAAATTTATTATTAAAAAAATAACAACATTTTTTAAAAAATAGCTTTTTCAGATTTTTTAATTAATATCCCAGCTGATTAAAGTTGTACAACTTCAAGAACGTCATCATTTAAATTTAATGTAATATAATAACTTTTATTCAATATCAATAAAAGAATTAACGTGACAATCATCCTAACCTGAAATTAAAAAAAAATTGTGAAAAGCAGCTGTTTATTTAAAATGCCTACATTAACGAAATATTTTTAAAATACAGTTAGGTAACATGCAATCGCGTGCTTTATTCAACTTTAGAATATAACCTTGATTTGTATCTGCGGCGATTCAAGAAACTGTTGCAATCGGAAAAATGAGCCCGAAAATTAGCGTTTTCACAGTTTTTAATTAATATCTCAGCTGATTAACGTCCTACGAAGATGAGAATGGTATCATTGGATTCGTAGAATTTTTTGGAATCCGCAGACACCTGCCTCGAATTCCAACTCAGCGCCGTTCCATAGATATTTAAGAAAAAAGAAATTGACACGTGACCTTTCGCCAGCACAAATCTCGAGCGGAAGCAATTGTCATCCCCCCGGCGCTTTCGAAAAAGCAATTTTATCTCAGCTAATTCCGAGACGGTTGCCACTCCGAAAAATGAAATAACGTTTTCGCAGTTTTTAATTAATAACTCCGCCGATTATTGTCGTACGAAAGATGGGACCGGTATCGATGGATTCGTTGATTTTTTTCGAATACGGGGATATGCGTTTCGAATCGCAACTCGGAGCCGTTCCGCAGATATTCGAGAAAAACGAATTTGGCACTCGGCCAAATCCCTAAAATAGGGGAAACCCGTGAAAGAAAGTGCAAAACGTAGGGAAATGTAGGGAGAAAAAGTTTTTAATTAATATCTCGGCTAATTAAAGTCGCACGAAGATGCCGATGGTCAATATGGCGAGCCACGGGCAATTCTGAATCCAACGGTACCTTCCGCTAAGCTCTACACCCAGCCGTTCTTGAGAAGATGATGTTACAAACACACAAACAGACAGAGGCACACAGATTTTAATAGTATAGAATTCTTCTGATTTCTGTTTTCTTTCACAAGGCTAGAAGATAATTCTTCAACACTCCTTAATAAATTTGTGTTCCCAAACAGACATAGCATGAAAGACGAAGCATGGAAAAAAGTCATGACAAGGCAAAATCATGAAAAAAAGTTATGCTAAAGCTATAGTTTAAAAAGACAATGATGATAAGGCAATGATGATAAGGCTATTATTTATTCCTAAAATTCCTAAAGGCTATTATTAAATCTTCCTTAAAAATTCTAAAGTACAGAAAAACATAAAACACCAAATGCTGTTAAAAATGATTAAAAAATTATTTTTTACAACGAAAATTAAAGTTTCCTCACAAAAACAAGCAATCCGGCCAAGGGCAGGGAGACAGCTTTTTCGGGTGCATAGAATTGAGAGTTTACTTTTGATGCCACGCGGCAAAAAGACACTGTGGGTGGAGCAGAAACTAACTCAAGTCATTCTTCTACTAAGAATTTTCAAATGTAAGCAAATGGCGGTTTTGTTAGGCTTAGTGGCACTTAAACAACTTTTAAATTGTTCATAATTCTACAATATTGCATGCAGATTAAATAAAAGCCTTAACCGCAACATATGAACAACATAATTCAGTCTCTTTTAAAGAAAAAAAATGCTCTATTTACCAGCATATGAAAAAAACACGAAGGTCACTGAGGCAGTGTATAGACATACTTTTGGTGCGGCCGATTGCAATCAAAAAGAGAGGTGAAGAACTGCATGTTATAGCAGTCCCATATAGAACGGTTACATTCTACGGTTACTGGTTTTACGCGACATACATACTTTAACGAAATACCTAACCGCGGTAAGATAGCTTATCCGCAAAGCTGGTTTACGGTTACCACAAAATAGTAAGGGAAGGCAGGTTTGGCATATCTGACAAGAAATCGCCTATTTGGCAATACTGGGCGGCAAAATTGGCGATATACCATAGACGGATGGAGGAGCTTCTAGAACGAATTCTTACAGGCTTGGACTAGAATGTTCTCGAAGGCAACCCAAAAGCTATATAAACCCTCCCTGCACGCGGACTAGCAATGAGTGAGTGTCTCGTAGTCTAGCAGTGAGTTATCTTCAGTCTAGTGTTGATTTGCTCGTCGAAATATCTCGAGTTTAGAGAGTGAATTGTCGAGTCTATCGAGTGTATCGTCGAGTCTATCAAATGTATCGTCGAGTGCATCGCGAGTTGCAGAGCGCAGAGTCTCCAGAGTACGTTCCGAGAACAACCGTACAGAGTCGGGACCTGTACTCTGGTGCTTTGCCGTGAAGCTGTCTTCAGCGTTTTAGCCTGAAGGCAGCGTTCCTGATTGCTTCAGCGTGTTTACAGAAGTTTTTCGACGACCTTACATGTGATTTTTGAGCTGTCCTGAGTAATAATGGCTAAATAAATTGTGTCCGATTCTTCATCAAGTGCTGTCGTCATCACTCCGAGTCCACGAACCAGTACGGAAACGCAATATTATTTTCGTACGTCTCTACGAACAGATGACACGAAACAAATCGCCACTGAATCCATTTTAAATGCATTTTACGATCCGTTTTGCAAAAATGAGTCCTCTAATTTGTGTGTGCTTACAGAAGTCAAGCAAAAAACATCGTTCAAATAGAGACCGGCTAATGTGGATATTTTCGTTGAAGTACAATACCTTAAAATTTTCGCTATTACAATACTTCCTTTATGTTGTACAAGGAAATAAAAAGTAAGTGCATTATTCTTCTGGAGCTAGAGGATCACCTATTTATGCAGAATTTCCATATACGTATCCAATAGTTCAACTTGAACAACTACTTCACACAGTTTTTAAATTTTACTCACTTTTCTTGAATACTGTTCCTCTGAAAAGACATGCAAGACAACAGCAACTGATCAAACAAACACTTACTAAAAGAGCTTTTCGAAAACATCTTTCAGCACTTTGGAAATCCTTGCTCTCCAGCGCCATCAGACCCAAGCTTATATACACTCTTTCTGTTTCTTTTCCCCTGTCGATGATTCTTTCTAATCTGAAAAGGACACTGACAATAGAAAATGTTCATCATAGCAACTATTAAATTAGAAATTGCAAAAATTACCGCTTATAGTTTTAATCCTTTTATAATTAGCGGTTGGTTATTCTGTGAATGCATTTTGCTACGAACATTATTTACGAAAAATATCTAAATATAAAAGAAAATAATGAAGACACAATAACACGCAGAACAAATACTAATTCAGAAGTCAAACAACAAAAATTATAATAAATTTGATTTAAATAAAGTTCTTTCAACAATGAATTCTATTGATCCTGCTATTCAGTTCACTTTTGTACTTGAGACTTGCAAATTCTCTTCGTTTCTCGACATTCTGGTCACACGTAACACATACAACTTCAGTACTACGGTTTACCGTAAACCTTCATCGGTTACCTTCCACCCACACTTAAATCATGTCACCCGACTAAACAAAAGTTAGCTTCATTTTATTCCTATTTTTTCCGTGCTCTCAAGTTTGCTCCTCCAAACTAGCCCTTGATGAAGAACTAAATTATTTAAAAGCAATAGCTATGACAGAAGATTTTCACCCAACATATAATTAAGCAGTTACAAAATTCATCTCAACACATAAAGGCACACTCTTGTTTTAGCAGATTATAAAAATTCTGTTGTCTCCCTTCTTCCATCAATTAGCTTAAAATTGCCCTATTTTGCAGAATTTAACTTTCGGGTGGTGATTCTCCCATCAATAAAATTCCGAATTCCATACTCAAGGACCCTTTTCCGGATGAATTCCGGGATTTATAGGATCCTTGCCATGTGCTTAATTTACATTGGCCAAACTAAGAGAGCCTTAAAATTTCGCGTCAAAGAACAACGTGTTCAAAAACTGTTCAAATCAATGATCAATGTTATGAAACAATTTGTACGTGGAGATGAACCGCCACCAAGCGGAATAGGTATCTGCGAGCTGAGGTGAGAATTAAAGTAATAGTGAAGATTTTGAAAATCGAGAAATAATGGAATACCTGAAGGTGTGGCGCATAACTTGCAATGGATAGTTAATAACAGTTTTGTGATGTAATCTTATTATCTCTAATCTATTTATGTGTAATCTTATTTATCTGTAATCTCATTTATCTGTAATTATTTGTCTGCAATATAAATAACTATTTGTAGTATTGTATATTTACCATTGTGTATTTGCCTTTTTGATGCTGTTTGTGAAATAAATAAAAAAAAAACCTCCCTCATGTCTCGGCTTGACGTGGGCGAGGGGGCTTCTTACTAATTTGGGACACAAACAAAAATCTAGAACACTTTCACACCTATACACACATATATTTAATTCAAATATGCATGCAAACAATCGCTAATTCAATAAATAAAAATCAGCCATATTACTTATTTTTCATGTTACTTCATATTTATATTAAAAATAAATACAAATACGAAAAAAGAATATGGCGTCGAACTCCCCCGGCGTCGAAACGTTGGCGTCGAACCGTCGGCGTCGAAACGACCTGCTTCGTTTTAGACAGCATCTCATATAAACGTTCTCAATTTACAGTTTGGGCTTCTAACCGGTTCTTAATTCAAAACGGCAATATCTAAGAATTATACGTAAATACTCATACAAACAAAAAAGAGATTTTAAATTTGAGAATATCTACTTTTCAACTAAAGAATAATTTACAGCGAAATAAATGTTAATTTCATGTTTCGAAGTGTCTGTTGAAGATTATCATTCATCCATCTACCATGGCTATCTCCTTCCTGAAAATTATTTCTATACATTTAATGGGCATTTAAACCTAAAAGCATTACGACATTATAAGCAACTGAATCGAAAAATCGTAGAACCTTTTCAAACCTGCTCTGTTCAATACGATTATAAAAAAAAAATCTCCTCGCAGTGGTAACGGTCCATGCAATTTTCCGAAGTTTTACTCAAGTAGCGGCAATATGCACTTCCAGGAAAGTGCTCCTAGAACTTGCTCACGCTGTTCCCCACCTTATTAGTAGGTTCAATATTAGTGAAACCTAACGTGCAGGTTGTTCGAAGTCAATTAAGACCCTCCAGGCTCTCATCTAATCCGATTTTAAGCGCATAATTTGGCCCCCACCTGCACATGCGAGAAAGAACCGCCTTCGCTAATGGCTCTGATTCGATTAATTCCCCGCTCAGTAATTCGCTTAAGATTATGGAACTGTTTGGGAATGTATTCACACAGCAGCGGATGTCCCAAACAAAACTAAGTATGCGTTTTCGTCCGAGCGTTCGGGGTTCAGATTACGCAAAATGTGGAACTACCTGCATAACATCCGACACCATGGTTAAACTGCATTCAATTTCACGTTTCATCTTAAACGAGCTCCTGATCTTTAACTTTCAATGTGTAACAAACAAGAAGGTGTCTCAATGTATTATTTTGATGTTTTCATGAGTATATATATTGCAGCTGAGGATGGTGGTTCAGTAAAACCATCGAAACTACTCCTGTGAAAATTTTGAAAATTAACGCTGATTTTTGTTTTTACTTCTGAATTAGTACTTATTCGGCGTGTTATTGTGTCTTAATTACATATTACTGTCGATATAAATCAAATTGTTCAGGTGCATTAAAGCAATATTGCAAAGTGCAAAGCGATAAATACAAACAAATCATTCTGCTAGTTATACCGACGCAAGTTTGCAAAACATCTGACTGTTGAATAAAATCCTGATGTTCTGAGTAATATCTCGTACTGATTCCACGCTTTCTTTACACTTTTTTAAAGAACAGAAGCTATCAAATTTAACAATACAAGAAACAGAAGAGTTAGATTACATATAAAAATTCAAGTAGATATTCGTGCACTATTTCTATAATTCTTACCTGTCTCTTGCCAAGTTCCTGTGCCTAGACATACCAGATTCGTGAATTAGAACGGCAGAGAATTCCAGAGACTTCTGTAAAAGAATTTAAGTTTTAATATTTAAAATAAATATTTTTCTCATTCGTGGAGAATAAACTGGATAAAACAAAATAAATAAAATGATATTTTTAAATGCATCCTGTAAAAATACTAAATCAATTAAAAAACATGGAAAATACGTCGTATATTGTGATCAGCAAGTCAGTTAATATTTTCAAATTATTATCCTCGGTGGGCGATGGGTAGCTACCTATTTTAATTCTTTATTCTTACTAAAATTATGTACATATTGCGATGAAATTTGTATTATTTTACTGCCACTGCTTTTGCATTTTTTCAGATGCTGCTGTTTTTGATGACGTAGAGACGGCAGGTAGATCGGGAAGATAACCAACTTTACATGAAGTGTGGTGGTCCGGAATTCAGATGCAAAGGTAGAGGAGGTCTCAACACGGTAAAAGTGCCATTCTGGATGCAAAAACAATAAATTTGCAACAAAATGATTTTTTTGCTCGCGCCACTAGGATGCGCTCGTTTATACTTCCTTGTACGAAGTAAAAAGGAAGTACAGTAAGACCCCGCTTAACGCTGTTTCGTTTAGCGCTGTTTTATTTCAACCCGGGGATTCCACGAAATCGCTCGCAGCATACGGGGATTCCCCGAAATATTATGCAGCGATAGGTTTCAAATACATATCCGAAAGAGTGTACTTTGTATTCTTGTTTGGTGCGGTATTGTAAGACATATTTTGAAGGGGTAAATGTGGAAGATGTCGAAGAAATAATTCAGAAAGCAGCGGCTAGTCTTTCTAATGATGAGCTCAAGGAATTAACTGAACAAGAAGAAAACAAAAATCTTGACAGCAGTGATTCAGAAGAAGAGCAAAAAGAACTTTCGATGGCGTTTTGTAAAAAGGAGTTTCTCTACGATACTGAAAATAATGGATCAATTCATTGAAAATGATCCGAATTTTGACAAGAGCTCCAAAGTAAGGCGTGGGTTAGAGATGCTCTATCCGTTTATGAAGAACTTTTAAGAGAACAAAGCACAAGAAAAAGGCAAACAACATTAGATGCTTTTGTCACAAAAGGCAGAACATGAAAACGCGGAAGGCTAACTAAATATGACTGACTTAGAATTTTTTGTTTTTTTTTTAAGAATATTCGTTTTGTTATTTATATTTGTTTTTATTTTTGCAAGAAATAATAATGTGGTATTAATTTGGGCTTAAGAAATAAATGTTTGGTTTTATTTTTATTAAAAAAACATACTTTTTAAATTTAATACTAACCAATTTCCTAGCCTCTTTCCTAACCCAATATTTACATGTAAAGATACCTCGTTTATCGCGTTTCGCATTACGCTCTACTTGATGGAACGTATCCCCGCGTTAAGCGGGGTTGTACTGTATGTAATCGCGAAAAGCTTCAGGCAGCATATTTCAACGAAAATATCCACTTGACCGCTTTCGAAGAAATTTAACAATGTTTTGCGTGATATATGTACGTAAGGACAGAAAAAGACTCTTTCATCCAAAAAACTAAAAAACTGCTTTAAAAGAATTCTGAAGAGAATTTTCGTGGGTCTGTACGAACGTATGTACGTACGTATCTCTCATAATCAAAAATGAGTGCTCAGAACGTTGAAATTTTGTATATAGGCTACTATAACATGTAGATGTGCACCACGTATTTTGGTTTCAATCGGTTGCGCCAAACGTATATAAATATATTTATAAATATATCCACTTTAACTGGACTCTGGAAAGATGTTCGGGAGAAATGGGTTAGAATACCTCTTCTGCCACTTCAAAAGCCATTATTATCCTGGAAATTGCGGTGTCGAAAGATAGTTCAGAATAAGGGATGTCAAATAGAACATTTAAAACACAAGAATTTTATGTAATTTAGTTTTATGAATACAATATACATCATCTAAAAAATGTGTGAACAGCCTGTGTATTATGTATGTCATTTCCAACTCCTGTATACTGTCGTGTTCTCTAATGCTTTTAGGATATATTTACTAACTATTTATTGCCAATGTGAATTTTATTTCCCAGTGAGGGCTACTTGAATGTCGATCCCCGTTTGGAGCTCAAGGCAGATTCCAATTTCCAGTCTCTGTGTCAATCTAGACACCCAGAAATAAATGTCAATTGAGAGAAAAAAAATGGCAGTTAACGGGTTAAAATTAATTACAAAACGAAATATTTAATGAACTCAAAATACACCGAGTTCTTACACAAAATCAGACTAATGCTGCATATCAAAAGAAGCTGTTTGAGTAAATAAACCGTACTTAAAACCAGCAGCCACTTCAAATACGATAATGAAACATTTTACCGCTATGAAAAGCATTAGATGAAAATTACAACTACTCGACAAACGTTTATACTTCCAGAAGGGACAGTTACCTCATGATCTGGTTCAATATCCAAAGCCTTGTTGAAGAGTTCGAGTGCTTCCACATTTCTTCCTTGATCCATCAACACGACACCTAGCTGCAAAAGATACATTAAAATACTTACTTCGCTTATTTATACAATATTGCATGTTAAATACATAGAACGAACAGAAAATTAAACTAGCCTTTCATGATAACAGAAAAATACCAAATGAGTAATAGCAACTTACAGGAAATATGAAAAATTAACTCTGTCTATAAATAAAACGCTATTCAAAAGTGTAAATTAAGTTTTTAGTTAGATCAGAATAATGTACCGCAAAATGAGATCGTTTGCGGTCCTGAAACGCATATATTTGCGATTATCTTTGGAACTAATAGTTCGATTTAGATGCGGTTTGCACCGTTAGATTCCTTTTCAAACGGCAAAACTTGATTCGAACCGCAAAAACTAAATTTCGGCCGAAATTTTCTTGAGATTTTCTTGTGAACTACGACTCCGCGACTGAACCACGGTTTGCAGTTTTAGAGCGCCCAAGCGAAGCTCTATTTTTTTCACGTCAAAAACTTTCATTACCCCATGGTGGGTCATGGTGATGTCGATCCCCATGTTAAAGCCAAATTTCTTTTTTCGAGGATTTCTATGGATCTAGGCGATAGAAAACCAAGATTTTTTGCATGTAGTACAATACCTTTGTTACCTTTTATTTTCCGCAAGAACAGTCACTCTATTTATATTATTAGACGATTTTTATCGATCGTTTAAACTTTTCAAAAAGTCGATAAAAAGTAAAAAGTCAGAGGTTATTTAAAAACCTAAATAGCCAAAATGTTTGTCTCGAGACGTTCTACTATTTAGAAAAATATATTTTATCTTTAGCCGAATTAGAACCGAGATTGGAATTCGAAGTCGAACCCAGCATCTACCAATTAGTTAGCTGGATGTAATTGTACATGTGTATTACCGCAACCACCTTAGCTGAAGTCAACAAATTTTCAGAATGTACCAATCTCTGGCAAACATAGACATAAAAATTCTTCAAGCCACCATGCTCATAACAATTTTTCAGTCGGAACAAGATCGTCAATATGCTATGCGTTCTTGTTATTATACTACAAGTTCTAACGATTCTTACAGACAAATCATGATGTATTTAGCCTTCAATTTAAAATTTAAATTATGCGCTTGTGGAATTGGCAATCCCAGCAATGGAAAAAACTGCGGAAAAGTTTCGTCAGGAATACAGTATTTTGTCATAAAATCGCTAAAGGGAACAATGGTGAATTACGTTTGGCAGATAGTTCGGTGTGCAAAGGCGAGTTTGTGAAATTCTCTGATTTCTTTTTAAGCTCCAACCGATCGCTGCGTACATGGGAGAGAAAAACACAGCAAAATATTACAAACTGATTTCACAACACATGCAAGTGTTTTAGGTTTTAGTGCATTCTTATTTAATGAGGAAAATTTTTACTGTAAGTTTGTTTTCTTTAGATATTTTAATAACATTTGTCGACTTACGATAAATATCCATAATTTAGGAATCATTATTAAGGAAAAGTCACAAAAATCGCTAACTAATCGAACCCAATAAGTAACTTTTAACTTTTCCTCTGTAAAAAATTGCCAAATCGAGAAAAGCTTGGCTTAAAATGGATGTAATGATCTATGGCATCTCAAACCCACACACGGAGGTTTGGTTTGGTTTGTTTAATTATGGCAAAGCACACTAAGGCTATCTGCCTAAGGGGAGGGATGCCTTCGTGGAGGGCTTTCTAAGAGAAACTGACTCGTATACACGTTACACGTGAGGAAAACCACGAAAACTCCATTGCAGCCAGACCGTTCGCGGGATTCGAACTTCAGACCACTCACGGAGGAATATGGTATTTCCTTATATTTAAGGGCAGTTATACATTCGAGAAGCCTTCTTCTGGAAGATTACTTGGTGTACACTTGGGAGGAGGCTGCATGAGTCAAGCACAAACTAGATAAAAATATTTGCTTATGAACAAACTATGAGCAGTTGCAGAGTCATCAGGTTGTTTTAGAGCAGGCGACATGAAAACTGCGCAATATCCTCGCCAGGACTCGAACCTGGACCTCTCGAATAGTGCCGAGTGTGCTACTGTTACACCACTAAGGCATGCAGAAAGGAGGAAGAAAAGCCCCCTTTTAGACAGCGACTGGGAATTAGGGGAACCAATCGCCAAATCCTGGTTGTGTAGAATCATCATCCACCACCTTTTAGTTCGGGCGCCACTGTAGAGACATTAGGTTATTTTGAAGCAGGAGACATGAGAAATGTGCAATGCCTTCGCCGGGACCCGAACCTCGACCACTCGAATACGCGCCGAGTGCGCTAACCCTTATACCACGAAGGCATGCTGGAAGGAGGGAGAAAATACCTTATACAGTAACTAGAACACCCAGCGGGCATAAGAAATGACCGCTGTTCTAGATATTATAAATTGTAATTAAAATTATTTGTGCAAGGGTGTCTGCTAATTTAAACTGAATTACCCAGGGCAGGCGGCGAGGAAGCCCCTTTGCTTACTGCCCCACGGGGTACCACTTCTACTTGCTTAATTGCTTAAAGTACAGTGCAATGAAGAAAATCACTGGCGGTACATTTCTTAAGAGCCACCGCTAGCTCAATCAATAAAGGTGAATTAAATAATGAAATGTTAATTCACATGTCAAAGATCTCTTTGTACACAACATTTCTTGGGTAGATCTTTCCATCATTTTTCAGCTCGCTTTCAGAGGACCATCCATTATATCTAATTTTACGTCCGTTCTTTCACGAACTCTTCAACAGGCAACATAACGTTGACCATGTTCAAATGTAGGCTCAGGTAAAAATATGCCAACATGCTTAAGTATTTGAACCTGAGACTTATGGATGGTCATAGCAAAGGCGAGTTTTACAGGAAATTGTGTACGTCTCAATTCAAACGGGAACCCTGTGCCGTGGCAACTTCGGCCCATTGGCTAGTACAGTTACGCAAGCAACCAATAAACTATCGGCGACAAACAGACACTTAAGCCGCATGTATATATATATGGAGTGAAGTAACATCATCTCCTCCGAAACGTAATCCCGGGCTTAGCGAAGCACATCGTTGGATTCCGCTGGTCCGTTCCGCTGGACCATTCGCGTGTTCTTGGGATTTTAATTAGCCGAGATATTAATTAAAAAACTAATTTTCTCCTACGTTTCCCCTACATTCTCCACTTTCTTTCTTGGGTTTCTCCTATTAGAGGGATTTGGCCACGTGCCAAATTATTTTTTCTCGAATATCTACGGAACGGCGCCGAATTGAAATTCGAGACGCGTATCCTCGGATTCCAAAAAATTCTCCGAATCCATCGATACCGTTCTCATCTTCGTACGACTTTAATCGGCCTGCAGAAACGTTAATTTCCGCTCTCATTTTTCGAGTGGCATCAATAAACTATCGGCGACACACATTTTTAGACGCTTATATATATAAAGACGTCACAATTTCTAAGATTTCTAGTAGAAAAAAGCAAACCTTGTAGTAGTATACTAATGGGCAGAAACCAGGAAATCTTTTATAGCTGCGACATTCAAACGCCAAATAAAGACGTGGCACAAGCTGCAAGTGTTTCGTAGCTTCAGTCGCCATCTTAGTGGATTGCTATCGCGAAATAAAAATGGACGTGTAAATCAAACCCTGTACGTAATTAAGAATTTTTAACGAATTCTTTACAGAAAGATGCAATGAAGGATAAGTAATCGATTATTTAAGTCCTTCCTTTTCCACCTCGAAGAACATGAAAGAAGCTACAAATCACTTTCTTCGAAAGTTACAAATGTGGCTGTCATCTACAAACTCGTAATGAAAAAGAAAAGAATAATTCCATGTACTTCCAGCTGAAAATGAACAGAAATAAGACGTGGTCCTGAAACATATTATCCAAATAAATTTCTCCACGTCCCATTGACACAAGACGAAAAAGAAAGTAGAAATAATTAAATCTTTTCGCTCCCTTTTTTCTTTTCTGATGCTGCGATGGTGATTAAACATGATAAGAAACAGGACAGGATTATAAAAAGAAATCCTACTTGCTACAAATCATAGAAACTCAATTCTCTCACAATACTGGCACAGGGCTGTTAGAGAAAATTTGCAGATTTTTTATTCTTAATTAAAAAAAAATAACAGGAACATTAACAAGCTTCCTTATATCGCCTGTTGCACCTCTTGCATATTTTTACAGATATAAAAATAACGGCACATTTGAAGGTCTAAATTTAAAATCGAAATTTAGGCTTATGGGATAAAAAAATATGGAAAAAAGGCTACAAATGCGAAGATTTAAATTTAGGAAAGTTTGTGTTACGACTCTGTCGACGACTGACAAGCCTAATTCAACCCATGAATCAAGAAATTATCATGAATATAAGAATCAAATATCGATGCCTATCTATGCGTCCATGAGTAAAATTTGAAGCCAGTATCAAAGATTTTTAGTAACAGTTAACATTGAAAGAAACTATATTTACTTTGACTTTTGCTTGGAAAGATGTAAAGAACGTTACTTCGCTGCTAGTGAAAACTGGGGAACATTGATCGCGGTCGGACATGAAGATTCTTCTGGTTTTAAAACGCGGCGTTTCACCGTTTACGGCAAACATCTTGGATATAATGGTAGACGATTTTGTTTCGATCACACTCGTTCAATATGACAACCGACATCTACTATTGAAAGAGAACGATAATGAAGTGAAAGGATGAAGATGAAGACGACATGCAGGTGCAAAAAACTGACGAAGGATTGTTGACTTACACAACATTTGCTGACAAATGTTCCAGTATATCAGTATATGATATTCTGAATCTTCACTGCATTCACAGCGAATATTTAAAACTGTTTAGAGTCCTGAGGTTATTTTGAAGTACGAGACGTGAAAAATGATCAAATCTCTCGCTGGAGCTCGAACCTGGACCTCTCGAATACGTGCCGAGTGTGCTACCGTTACACCACAAGGCATGCATAAAGAAAAATACCTTATCTACTCCCCCTCTCCCCCTTTTAACACACTGAGCGCCACGTCAGCCATTTGTGGC